AATGGAGTGTTTTTTCTCATTTCCGTTTCAGAAGTTTTGTCGCTGATATACAGAAATGCCTTTGATTTATGTGTTCTCTCCTCTCTCTTAAAAAAAAAAAAAAAAAAAATCTCCTAGGGCCAGGCATTGTGAAGCTCACCTGTAAACCTTGTGGTTCTGGAGGCAGAGGCAAGGAGGATCATGTGTTCAAGGAGGCCAGGCTTCGTAATTTAGCAAGGTCCTCAGCAACTTAGCCAGACCCTGTCTCAAATAAAAAATATAAAGGGCTAAGGCTATAGCTCAATGGTAAAGTACCCCTGGGTTCAATTCCCTATACAAATGAAACAAAAAAACCTCCTAGAATATTAATATAACTGATCTTGATAATTTTTTTAAGGCCTGCAAAGAAAACAAAAAAAGATACCAAAGAAAAAGCGACAGATGAAAAAAAGGATGAGATAGAAAAAATAAAATCATATTCCTACATGGAAGGTGAACCTGAAGATGATGTCTATTTAAAACGCTTATACCCAAGGCAGATATATGAGGTGGAGAAAGCTATTCAGTTACTTAAGAAATTTCAAATTTTGGACTTTACTCATCCAAAGCAAGGGGTTTATCTTGATTTGACACTGGATATGGCATTGGGGAAAAAGGTATGTAGACCCAATTAAAATGTGTTTATTTGTGAACAGTGACTATATGAATTGATATTTCTTAGTTTTTAAAATTCTTGTACCCACTATGATTTTTAGAAAATCTCATGCTCTTTCTATAGTGTGTCATAAAAAATGTTAATTTTAAAATTTTCCAGGTCTGAAAGATGAAATATGAAATATTGAAAACATAAAATTAAAGACACTATGGAGAGTTGATTTATATATATATTTCCTGTTCTCCTAAAGGATGACTAGTATAAATTTCAACAAAAGTAGTGTTAAAATTGAGATATCATTGTAACTTTGGAAAATAACTTAAGCTATCTGGGTGTCATGTTTCTTCTTTGTAAATAAGGGTTTTGGATTAGCTCAAATGTGTTCCTTACAATCTTAGATGAGACTAAGTTTGCATGGCTTAGGTACTAAGCTCCTCACTCATGCTTTAATCAGAGCCTCTCTGCTTTTTATGTTCATACTCTGGATTTCTTCAGAAGACTTATGTTTATAAAACTCTAAAAGAGAGAAAACCTTGAGGTTAGTATTGAGGTCTATTACAGCCCTAAATTTTATAAATGTCTCTTTAAAAAATCTAACATTTTAGAAATGATATTTTATTTTCTAAAATGTCTTTTTTGTGTCAAATTAGAAGATTTAAATTTTGTAATACAAATTAACAATCTGCACAGCAAAAGAAAGCAAGCACCTAGGAAGAAGCAGCACAGCATTATGTTTAAGAGTATAGGCAATGGAGTCAAATTACAGTATAAATCAACCCATATTATGCCGTCACTATATATTTTTTTAATTTTTATAGTTGTAGATGGATATCGTGCCTTTATTTAATTTATTTTTTTATGTGGTGCTGAGGATTGAACCCAGTACCTCACACATGCTAGGCAAGTGCTCTGTCATTGAGCTACAGCCCCAGCCCGCCGTCACCATATTTTGACCCTGGACTTCTTTGCTTTTTGGCTTTGGATTTATTGTTTAACCTCTTTAAGTCTCAGTTTTTCCATCTCTTTATGAAGAGAGATAAAGTATTTAGTTTGGTTCTACTGAGGATTAAATGAGATAATACATGTAAAGGACTTAGTACTTATTAATTACATTTACTGAAAACTTTCTGTGTATCATTCACAGTACTAAATGTTTTGCACTTATTTTCTCACTTAATCCTATAATGATGTCAGAAGAGGAAACAGAAAGTGAAGTATCTTGTTCAAGGTTATAGAGCACGGGTAGAGTTAAGATTTGAATGAAGGTTTATCTCATTTCTTAGTTTTCATTAGAAACAGTTTATACCAGTCATGTTACAATTTTTATTTTGTATGTTATGTTACTCTTAGTTCTTTTTTGGAGAGGGGTACCAGGGATTGAATTCAGGGGCACTTGACCACTGAGCCACATCCCTAGCTCTATTTTATATTTTATTAGAGACAAGGTCTCACTAAGTTGCTTAGCATCTCAACTTTGCTGAGGTTGGCTTTGAGCTGAGATCCTCCTGCCTCCGCCTCCCCTCCCCAGCCACTAAGATTAGAGCATACACCACCACACCCAGCCTTACTCTTAGTTCTTTATCTTAAAAGTTTTGTAATACAGATGATACTTTTCTTGGTCAACCATTAAAGAAGTTCATAACAATGTCCTGTAGGACACAAACTTCATTTTGTATATGGAAGTCATTTGAAATGAATGACATTAAAAAGGTACTGTCATTATCCTAGAGCTTTTCTTTTTCTTATAGAGTGCACAACAAGCCAGTGTTCCCCGGGGGATGCTGTTATGATTGCTTTACTACTGAAACCAGTTATGACATGATAATGGCAAAGGAATGCAAATCAATAATAAGTTAAATGAATGATATAACATGTGCTTAAGAATTTATGCCTTCTTAGCCAGGTGCAGTGGCACATGTCTGTAATCCTACCTATCCTGGAGGTTGAAGCAGGAGGATCCCAAGTTCAATAACAGCCTGGGCAACTTAGAGACACTCTGTTGCAAAACTAAATAATTATATAGGGCTGGGGATATAGCTTAGTGATAGAGTACTTGCTTAGCATGTGGAAGCCCTGGGTCTAATCCCCAATACACATATACATACACACACACACACACACACACACACACACACACACACCCATACATATAAATAAATTTTTTAAAAAAGGAAATTTTAAAAATCCTTTTTGTCAGAAAAGAAATCGCCCCCCTCAAGATGTCTCTACTTAAAAGAATGTTATCTTTCACTCAGTTTTATTAGCAGAATAATGTCTTTTCTCTCTCCTTTTCCCCTCCAAACCTTAAGGCTTGAACAGAACTGTGAAGGGCCTAGAACTTATTTCCATTTGTCTCCCTAAGAGACCTGAGCCTTAGATCTACAAATGCCCTTGGCCAAAATGATGGAGTGTATTAATTCTGAGGCCCTGTAGAATCTCTGCCCATATTAGAGTGCCTCAAATGCATGCTATTGTTTATTTTTGATTTCTGGTTAATCCCCCCTGCTCCCTTCAAAAAAAAATATGATGGTGGTCCAGGTTATTTCAAAACAGTATCTAGGGGTTGGGGTTGTGGCTCAGCAGTAGAGGGCTTGCCTAGCACATGTGAGGCCCTGGGTTCAAGCCTCAGCACCACATAAACATAAATAAAAAATTATGTCCAACTACAACTAAAAAATAAATATTAAAAAAAATAGTATCTATTTTACCTAATTGTTTAGAGCAAGTATGACAGTTAGGGGTATCCTACTAAGCAGATGAATTAGATATTTTCTGTTGTTCATTTTGTATAGCTGTGTTCATATTTTTCTTGACTGTGTCAGAAAATTAGATTTTTTTTAACAATTTTAAGTCAATTTAGGAAACATCTGTTTATATCAATGAAATGGTAAACATCATACTAGGTGCTGGGGGCTTATAGATATACAAATATACCTCTTAATATTTGAGAGACTGTGGTAAGTGATAAAGAGATAGAAGCAGATGCTAAGGGAGTATGGAGCTGGGAAGAGAGATTTAGATTTTTATTATGTTTTTCATAAAAAGGACATATATTTTCTTGAGCTTTAATTTGTAATCAAAAGAATGGTTCTGGATTAATGACATATGGTAGAATCAAAGAATGAAAAACATATCAGTTCTGGTTTTTATAGAAAGTGAGAGATAATAGAAAAAAAATGAACTTTTTATAATTGTTTTTCCTGTTGTATGTTTAGAAAAAAGTGGAGCCATTTGCCAGTGTTATTAGTTTTCCATACCCATTTGCATCAGAAATCAATAAAGTTGCTGTATTTACTGGGGTAAGTAACTTGTAATCTATTTGTATCATTTAGTTTATTTTAGAAATCACATTAATCAGTGGTTTGAATAACTGAATAAATAGAGAAAATTTAGGTATTCATCAGCATCTTGTTTTCCCCATTTAGAGTTCAAAGCAGATGACTTATTTGGATTTATGGTACTAATTTGAGATAGAGCCAAATAGAAAATTTCACTCATCATTACTAATCCATCACATTATATTTTTCACAAGAAACTGAAGAGTACCATACAATTTATCTGTGTAACTCCTTCTTACTACTTAAATTTCTTCCTTTACACAAGAGGATTATTTTAAAGCAAGAGTACCACTTAGTGCTAGGTATCCTCAGAAACCACATCTTCTAAAAATATCTAGAAAGTTAGGAAATCAAGTTTATAGCAAATGTTTATAACAAAAGTTTATAACAAATGTAGTAATCTATCTACATCTCTTTGCTAATAATGGATTTGTTAATTTGATATACTGTGTTTATGTATGTTTTATATTTTGATTCTTCTCTATACAAAGTTCAAAATTGAGGCGTTTTTCATTTGCTCTGCCTTACTCTCAAGAAAGATACTTTACTTCTTCCCAGAGAAGTGGGGAATATAGTTCTTGGAATGTCACAGAACTTTTGATACCTAAGAGATTGAAATATTTTCACAATAAAACCATTTTTTTATAAAAAAAAATAACTAATACTATTTATTTTTCTTTTGAAATTTTCAGACACCTGGTAAGTTTTAGTTCTTAAGTTGAAAAAAATTACCCTCTTAATATTGATTTTATAAAATATTTCTGTTTAAGTTAGCAGAACTAAATATATTTTAACCTTTTACTTTTGAAAGGTAATATATTGATAAAACTGTTACCTACCATTTAGTTGGTTTCTAATATGTCATTTTGGTGTATTTCATCATGTCTGTCAAGAAACACTTTACCTACAAATTAAACATGTAATGAATGTCGTAAAATGATACATTTAATTGAAAATTGATGTCAAAATAAAACCATGATTTTTATTTTGAATGCTGATTATTTCTGACAGAATATTCAAAAATATATTAAAGTTGTTAAAAAAGATTGATGTTTACATTATTGTGTTTTGGTAGAATGCATCAGAGATTGAAATAGCAGAAGAAAATGGAGCTGCGTTTGCAGGAGGAACTAGTCTGATTCAGAAGGTATAGTGTTGTTTTCATGTTCATTAGTTATAAAGATTGTTCTGTTATCTTTGCCATCCACTGATTTATTACATGTTGAACATAATCACCAGGCTCATATCTTTTGATAAATTGTTAGTAGGGATTTTTATAGAGCAGGGAAAAACTTTCCTTTTTCAATCTCAAAATCAAGGTAAGAAAAAACAAAATGATGTTGATTATATTTGATTTATTTTGTGGTTTCTTGTCATGTCCAGGATGCACCTCTCTTCCTTTTTGTCCATCAGGGTTTCTTTTTTGGTATTAGGGATTTAACCCAGGGGTGCTTTACCACTGAGCTACATCCCTAGTACCCTTTTTATTTTTTATTTTGAGACAGGGTCTCTCTAAGTTGCTTAGAACCTCATTTCACTGAGTTGCTGAGGCTGGCCTGGAAGTTGTATTCCTCCTGCCTCAGCCTCTCGAATTGCTGGGATTACATGAGTGTGCCACCACTCTTGGCTCACTTTTTTATTTCAAAATGGGGTCTTGCTAAGTTGACCAGACTGACCTGGAATTTGTGATCCTCCTGCATCAGCTTCCTGAGTAGCTGGGATTATGGGTATGCACTGTGCCTGGCTCTATTCATCGTCTGAAAATCAAATATCTGTTGTGCTTTCTGGGAGTGATTCACTTGATAGATCAAAAAGCATAGTATCTGACCTCTATAATATAGTGCTTTTGGTTCCTCTTAACTTTTACTCCCTACTCAGTTCTGAGTGGCAGAGGCTCACCATGGTAGCTGACAAATGACTGTGTAGCTGCCTGTAGAAAATAACAGAGCCTGTGGAGTATTTTTTTTGAAAAGAACAGCATTTTTTTTTTTTAAGGTGGAAATAGGCACATAGCTATTTCTGAAATACTAATGATACTTTAATGTTCCCTAAAAGCTCCTCTTCTAAAGATAATCATTTAGATTATGGATTTTTTTAGGGAGGAGAGGCAGAATAGGAAAAAGTGATTTAAAAATTTTTTGTTCAGTATCCAGATTTTCATCTGGGGAACTTTTATCTGGGCTCATCCTTTGGAATGTATGGCAGTGCTGGTAATTTATTTTTTTCCCACTCCAGTAATATTCTAAATTTGTGGGAGATTATAAATTTTTATATGGAATCTTAAAAATGAGTTTTGGGAGAAGAACTAAAAGAAATTAGGAAGAGAATATACTTTAACAAAGATTCTAGACCAAATTGAAGGTTAGTACCCAATTCTTTTTAGCTTATCAATTTTAATTTGTATGTTTATTTAAGAAAATATCGTGAAGGCTTGGGGTTTGAGAGTGGAGCTTGGTTTCTTAAGTCAGAGAACTATTCATATTACATTTGTATATTGCCTTTCATCTGTTTTCTCCTGCAAACACAAGGTATCTTGTAGAGCTATCATAGCCACTCTTTCAATTCTCAAACTTTAAGTAAGAAGTTAAGTTACGTATCAAAGAAGAAATGGTAATGGAACAGAAAGTATTTTATATAGCGTTAAGTTCAGCAGAGGAAGCATATTTGAAAAAGTAACCCAAATAAGGAAACCAAATACACTTTGAAGTTATTTGATTTATAAAACTTACAGGTACCAGCATTTTTTTTTTAGGGACCTTAGTGATGGATCTGTTATGAAAGGGACTGTGCCATTTGTATAAGTAATCTTAATCACTGTATTCTTGCAAGTTACCCATAGTCTCTTTTAAAAAGAGTGTCCATGTTATTTTTAAAAGGTATTCAGATTATGAAGTAAATTCTACATAGTTGTGTAAATAGTATCATGGCTGCAATTTTAAAAATGCATTCCTGTATTTTTATTTTAATTAACTAATTTATTTTTTGTGGTTCTAGAGATTGAACTTAGGGCCTTGTGCATGCTAGGCAAGTGTTCTTCCATTGAGCTGCATCCCCAATCCCATTCCTATATTTCTGAATTAGTGTACTGTAATTACTTAGCTCTTATAAAATGTAAACTATGATAAAATTACTAATTTTTCAGTTGTTTCTTAGATAAGAACTTTATTAAATTTTATTTTGTAATATCACAAATATGCTTGGTTGTGAGAACTTTGAAAGTAATTTCATGTTTTTACTTATCTCTAAGAGCATGATTTCCATCCACAGATTTGTATTATTTCAAGGTTAAGGTTAATTATAGCATAACTTTCAAACATAACTTTAATTTAATTTAAAGGAACATCACACAGAATTAATTTTGGGAAGTCTTTAAGTAGAAAACTTACATACAATTCTTTTGACATTTTCAAAATTGTCTCTGCTTTCCTATTTCCAAGGCTGAGAGCCCTGATTCTAAAATCACATTATCTGTGTTTGAATTCTGGCTCTCACTCTGAGGAGTGCATAGACTAACTTGTCCTCCCTAAGCTGTCAGTTTCTTTATCTGTAATGCATGGTCAATAGTAGTACCTGCCTAGTAGAGTCGTTGTAATGATCAGATGAACTAAATCATGTAATACATTTAGCAGAATTCATGGCACTTGAGAAGTACTCATTTATTATTGTAAAGGAGAACATGGCTTATTATTTAAGGAGTAAAGAATTTGTAAAATGAAATATTGGTAACAGAAAGATAAAATTCAAGAATCAGTGCTTTTTTTATTATAAAGTTCAATTTTTTTGGATTCCATATAACCTTAAACCAAGGCTTTGAGTAGCATATTTTGGTAGGATTTTATGCAAAAACAGAAACAAACAAAAATTGCTGAAATACTTGTTGCCCAGGCAGTATTGTTCTAAAGAGTTCTTTCATTTTATAATCAATTAAATTTTTAAGTAGTGTAGTAGTATAATAGTTACTGTAGGTGCTTGCCTGAATCAGTGAAAAAAATCTTTTAAAAATTGAATATTAATCCCCTGCTCTGAAAATGGAAATAGAATATGGATAATAAACTGTGCATGAACTTGTCTTTGACTGCCCCCCACATCTTTTATTTTTAGGTATTGGTGACAAGGAGAATTTTAGTTCAGTTCTTTGCGAAAATAATTATAGATTCAGCTCTCTCCATGCTCTAAATTTATAAAGCTAGTGGTTGCTAGTTAGTTTGGCACCTAGTGATTATTAATTTTACATGTGATCTATTGCAAAAATATAAGCTTATTTCTTCAATTCTAACAGACATGAATTCTACTTTGTCAAGTTATATGAGTTGTATACATGTTAATGTTATATTCTAGCTTATAATGCCTTTTTACCTAACATAACTTCATGGAAAAATTAAAACCATTAAATATTTTGTTAAAAATGAATGTGTCTGTATTTAAAAGAAAATGTTTTGCTTCTGATTGTTTTCTTAATTGGTAAGTGCATTCATAAGGTCCTTGCATTTGAAGAAAAAAATTATGCTTAATGTCTCTTCTGTATCAAAATGAAAATTACTTGTTTTCCAAAAGATAATCTAAGATTATTTTTTCCCCCTGATTTTCAGATTTTGGATGATGAAGTTCAAGTAGACTTTTATGTAGCTGTTCCAGAAATAATGCCTGAGCTTAATCCATTAAGGAAGAAACTGAAAAAAAAGTTTCCTAAGCTTACTAGAAGTAAGGAAGAATTTTTTGTTATTTCAAAATGCTGTCAACAAGTTTCTTCTCAATTTAGTTCAGTCAGAAAACAAAGTTGCTAATAATATATGTAGAGCAAATAGCATGTCCTGATGTTTGAGTTTTGTGTTATAAGAATTGTAGATTTGATCCCCCCCAACATTAATATTGATAATCTAATAGGAGAACGTAGTTACTTTGCAGTACTGGTTCTTAAAATTTAGATCAGAGTTTAGCTCCAAATTAGTGGAATATATTACACTAGGTATGTTGTCATCGTATTATTTTATTGACTTTTATACCTCTTTATTAATATATATGCTCATTAATTTATGCATTTAGCTTATGTATGTATGTGTATATATGACTACATGACTTTACAGGTATTTTACCTTACGGAATTTTCCCCTCATGGTTTTTCTCTCCCGTAAGAAATCTAGTAAGAGAGGTTTCTTTGTAAAGAGCCATGTTATAAAGTGGTATTACTTGATGAATTTACAAGGTTCTGTAGGTGTTCATTGAAGGAGTTTACATATAGATGGGGAATGGGGAAGGCATCATGAAGGAGGTAACATTTAAGCTGTACCCTATATCCTAAATAATTGGATAAGTTTGGGATTATTATTTTAAGTAGAAGGAGTTCATTAATCAGGGAAGTAGAAATTATAGGCCAGGTCCAAGGAATAACAATTAATTTTCTTTGTCCATAGGGAAGAGTACCTCTACATTAAAATAGAAGAGAAGTGATGTTGGAAAGGTAGATTGATGCTATATTGAGCAGGACTTTGATTGGTGAACTAATGAGCCTGGACTTTTATTCTTTATTAAAGCAGGAACCTCTTAGAAGTTTTGAGGTATAGAATGACATGATCTGTCCTTTAGAGCTTTAATCTGGCAAGAGTTGGTAAAATGTATTGGTAAGATGGTAAGATGAATTGAAGCTAGAGACAGGGAGACCAGTTTGGGTCTGATTGTAGGAAATTAATAAAGGCGGTATTTAAACTAATGTTTTCATAGTGAGACTGGAGCTAAGAGGACAAACCTCAGAAGTATTAGGACTTTGTGAATAGTTAACAATGAATAGATTGCTGGGGGAAAAGATGCTGAAATTTTAAGTCGGAACTTCTAATAAGTGGTATCATTAATTGAAACGGAGAGAGAGAAAAAACAAGTTCACTTGTTTTAGGTGGTGTTGGGTATCTGTGTAGATCGGAATTATTTTTAATAAAATTTTGTAGTGTAAATAGAAGTGCTTTAAAATTGCTTTCATAAATTTCTCTTCAAATTTCAATTCTAGTTAAGCTAAAAAAAAAATCCAGCTAGAATTGTTTATACATGTTAGTCATTAACACATGTTAGTCACTAATCATGATCTGTAACTTAAGCAAATTCCAGTGGACTCTCCAGTTCTTTTGTTGTACTGTCGTTGTGTTTATGTTTCATAACTTACATTAAATCACATTTCGATATTAGATATTGGACTGGGGCTTGGCATTTTCATTACTGATGTTCATCACAGTACTATTTGTTGTCATGGAATCAGACTTACATTTTTTCCTAAGTAAGACCTGAAATTGAACATTATTTAAAAATTAAAACAGAACTGAAGTTGAATTTGATGAAAATTTTACTCATATTTTTGTTTCTAATTAAATTCAAGCTCCAGTCAGAGCAAAACAAACAGTACCAAATATAGCCAGTTAAAACTGAAAATGAATACCGAATATATCTATTCATCTAGCTCCTTGCTTTGCTCGGTGAACTGGTTTTTCAAACAGACATTAATTTTGTCACCTTTGCTACTTTATCCATTCTTTTGTAACCTGTGTCTATTCTATTTAGCTTTGAGATTTTTAAAAATTGCTGATGGTAGCACAATGTTTAGGGCTATTTTTAAATTTTTTTTGTCTGAAAGATTTCTAAGATAACTTATTTCCTTATTCCAAATAGCAAATTTCCTGTTAAAATGTTTATTTTTTATCAGTGGGCTTTACTTATTTCTCCTTTCATAATGAACCACATCTTCCGCATATCATGGTCAAGTACATAAGTATGTGTCCCCACATTTGCTTAATAATGCATCTTCAAAAAACAGATCTTCTTCTACCCCAGCACTTCTTTTTACCCCCATGATCTATTTACCAGCCTAGCAAAACACTTGTGTTCTTTAAACATGAAGACAAATGATTAACCTGTCAAAAATATTAAGACAGAATATAGTAGATGTGCATTAGAACTATGAAGCTTGTATTATGCATTTTCACAGTTTATTCAGATTCTTATTTGGGAACATTTGATTCCCCTTATGTCCTACAAAAGACATTAGGGTAAAATAGAAATTATGTTTTGAGCAAGTAAATGAAATTAAAAAACAAACAAATAAATCCCTTGCAGCTGAGCTCATTAGTTTCCCATTTTGTCTCAGTTTTCTAATAGGAGTGGATGTAACCATCTTGTCTGCATTGAAAGTGCACATTTTACAGCATGTTTATAATGCTGAGATTTTATTCATTTTATTTTAATTGCTTTTATAACTTTAGGCACATTCTCTATTTTTCAAATGTACATTTTCCATGTTTTCTTAATATTTCTATTTCATAAAAAGAAATTTAAAACTTGTTTTTTAAAATTTCTTGGAAGAAATTTGGCTTCTTTTGCTAATTACCTTGCTTTTCCCAAACCATGTCCTCTGAAAATCTTTTATCTGTAGTATAGAGATTTTTTGATACTAAAATATTTTATTTCTATTATTGTTTTTACTTAGCATTACTAAACAAAAAATAGTAGTATGAAAAATATCTTGACTTAATGGAATCTGTCATCCATTATGTATACTAACCTGTGGTAGGTACTACGACATACATGAAAACAGATGAATTATTTAATTAATTTATTTGGTGCTTGGGATTGAACCCAAGACATTGCTCATGCTAAGCATGTGCTCTGTCAATGAGTTACACATCCTACTTATTAGGTGAATTATTTTAAACCATACTAAGTTGTTGACAGATAAGAAAGAAAGGGATACAATTAGAAAACTAGAATTACACTACATGTGTATTTTTCTTAACATGCAGCTCTTAGAACTAGTCACCTGTGCCTGCTTGGAGTCTTGTCCACTGGCTATTCCAGTAGAATTGTTCAGAGAGAATATTTACATCTATTGAGTAGAACACTGCTTTCTATAAGGAAGTTGTATCATAATTGAGATTCATGAACGTTAATAATATCAAAAATTCAAAGTACTTTTAACTTATTGAATAACATGTTGTATTTCAGATTATTGCTTACAGTATTGAAATAAGTAGAATTTTTTGCTTATATAAGGAAAAATACAAAACAAATTTTGCAGGGTAATCAATTTGAAATTTTTCTAATTTTCCCCCTTGCATTAATTTAAAAATTATTTATGTGTGAAAGAATTCATAAATGATTAAGTGCTGTTAAAATTATAGGTGAACTATCGATATCTTGCATTTGGTTCTGTTACTCTTTCCTTTTACTTCAATCTGAAGGTTTACCTTGTTCTTCCTCACTACCCCTCTAAGTGCTTTTTTTTTTTTCTCAGATCTTTGGGTTTATTATCTTATCTGTCCACAGTGTTCTTTGATTATTTGCCTGACTTATTTTCTTATACAGATAACATCTAAACAGAGAGGTCTTCCATGACCATTCTATATGCAATATTATTCGCTCCTTCCTATTAACAGTAAATATTATGCTTTTGTATTGCTTATAGGGCCTATTACTCTTTGCATCTCCTACTTTTAAGTTTATAGTATGTGTTCAGTTCTTCCCATTAGAGGAAGGGCATTTTAAGTTTGTTTGTTACTATGTTCACATAGCCTAGAATAGTACCTGGCACATAGAGATCGTATACAAATATTTGTATAATGAATGAACATTTTAGTGCAGCATTCAATTGGTAGAAGATATAGGATTAAATATTGCAACCGAAACCTGGGTTTATTATAAAAAAAAATTGTAATTTTTTTTGAATAAGTGTATTTATAATAATCATCTACTATGTGCCAAACCTTGGACATGATATCTATAAACATCACACATGAAGTTCTTAATGTCATAGAACAATTTGACTTTTGACAGTAGACAACTGGTTTTACTTTAGTATTTAATCATGCCCAGATTTGTCTAGTTAAACAAACAAAAACCAAAATATAACTGCCCTTCCAACCTTTATTTGATCTAGCTGTCCTTTTTAGCTATGATCTTAGTTCTTTCTGTTGTTTAATGCCAGTTTTTAAAATAAATGGTCTACAGTGATTGCTTGTCTTCATTTCCTTAAAAAATGTTATTCTATCTCACAACCTTCTCTTCAACAGTTTGTTTAAAATATTTCTCTCAATTATAATCACACATCTTTTTTTTTCTTCTACATTCAAAGGTCAGTCCTTTGTTTTCTCTTGTTTCTTTGAACTCTTTTGTATGTACAATCCTAACTCATCTTCTTTCTAACTATTCCTTCTTTGTCTTCCCTAGTAAAATACCAGGTGATCTAGTTTAGATTATGTTCATTGTGAAAATTGAATAGAGAAAGTTAGAGGAAGAGAAAAGGAAAGAAAAAGAAGAAAAACAGAATAAAAAAGCACATACAAGATAAAGTGGAGAAGGAGAGCTGCGATTGTGGCTGAGTGGTAGAGTGCTTCTCTATCATGCGTGAGGCACTGGGTTTGATCCCTGTCACCACATAAAAATAAACAAATAAAATAAAGATATTGTCTCCATCTGCAACTAAAAAAAATTAAAAAAATAAAAAGAAAGTGGAAAAGGAGGAGAGCAATTACATAGCAACAAGGGAAAACAAAGCCCTAGAGCAGTGACAGATTGACATTTGGTTGTATTGAAAAACAGAATAAATAATTGCTAACAGACTACCCTTAGTCTTGGCTGTATCACTTATTGTGACCTTGATCAAACTTAAAATATTTTTGTGCCTCCAGTTAATCATCTACAAAATGGGTTTCATGATAACATCTGTT